AGAAGCGAAGCATACTGAAGTGTATTTAAACCATCCTTTGTGAATAGTCGTTGCTGCTTTTATATAATTCTTACAGCCAATGTACCAAAAATGGTATTTTAAAAGTTATTTGTTGATTTTGGGAGAGATAAAAACAATAACAAAGCCATGATACTATGACGTATGATGTCGGTATACTGAAATATAAAACATGCCGTCAATGCTGGCAAAAGCGACATAAATATTATATAAAATTCATTCAACTTACCCTCGATATTTAAATTGTGAAGCAAACTTCTAAAATGTGGACATCGCTGCTTTCCGTGTCGTTTTCTTGCCCTATTTCAGCCATACCCGAGAACCGCATATTATACCCGAGAACCGCTCATTATATGGCAGAGTCTTCGTTTCATTTTATCAACCATCGGTCTCACCCCCGCCCCCCCCCCAGCCGTCGCGAACCACTAAATGTCCTCTACAATCCCTACATTATCCCTACAATCCTATATAATTGACTTTGCGGAGGAGAGTGGAAAATATTCATTAACTGAAGCAAGAATAATTCAAAGACTTTCAAGTATTTCTAAAATTTCCAGGCGGTATTAATAGTCACCAGTAATTGATAATGACTTATGCAGATTTCACAATAATTAGGCAATTCTATAAGATATAAAAGTCCAAAAGAGCCCATACACTACTAGCACCAAAATTGAGTTACTAGTTAATTTCATTATTGGTCTAAGTGATTTAGACCAATAGGCTGGGCTACAATATGTTTGGAGGCTGGGCTACAATCTATAATTTATATGGCTTTTTAAATTAAGCGAAATTGCTATTAGAACAACAGTAGGAAACAATATAGAAAGAGTCAATGAGTATGAGTTTTGGTTTATATAACAAGAACATTGTGCAATTTGTGCACGGCTAAATATATTTAAAAAAATTATTAATAAAACATTTATCTAAAGATTATTAAATATTCTGTTTTGCATAAGGACAATAATCACAGTACTCGCCATAACATTGAGTTAAGACAATGTCTATCTCATATTAAGTTAATTAGGAGGATTTAATGAGTACTGTCAATTTGTGTTTCGAATCTACAATATCTTTTACCCATTTGCCATGAGATCGTGAGGACATTAACAATGAACAGAATGTTCTGTATATTTTATTGATTTTTTTACAATCATACGAAAAATTAAGCAATTATTGTGAGTAGGCCTAGTGTTGACGAGTACTGTCAGTTAGCCACCAGACTTAATTAGTAGGTCAACGTACGCCTTCTAGAAAACTTGCGATAAATTGTTTTATCAATGACATCATTAGGAATACTATTTAGGGCACATACAACTCTTTCCTGAAATTGTGAGAAATCTTCAGCTTCTATGCGCTTGGTAATAGCCTCTTCACAAAAAATAGACTTTACTGAATGAAATATATTTTCAATTGGATTTAAATCCGGTGACCGAGCAGGAATTTTGAGCAACTCGCTTTCAACACTACGCAGTGCATTCATCGCAGCTTTACTGCTTTGCAAATGATCGTTGTCGATCATAAATAGACGTTTCCCGCCATGTTTAGGGCCGGCCTTAGTATAACAAATGTTGAAATTGTTTTTGATAAAGTTTGCAAAGAATTTCCTGTTCATTTTCTCCTGTGGTATTGCAACAATAACACCTTTTCCATGAGCAATAGCAACCATGACATGGACTCTACGACCAGCTGGCAAGTTTATGCTTCCTTTGCCGGTTAAAATTAGCCCCTCTCCCTTTTTTCGCCAAAATCTAGCCATCCCAGTGGTTGTCGCGGTCCTCATTGGATTGCACTAGTGCATAAACCATCCATATAGGATGGACTTCATTTCGTCCAAAAGCTTGCATTTCGTTTCATGAACTTCTTTACTTTTCTACATAATTGTCGCCTCAGTACACTGTCTCTGTCTGACAGAATACCTTTCTTTCGTCTCTGGAGGAAACCATAGCCATTCTCATTTAGAATACGTGAAACTATCCGTCGAATAAAAGCGTCTAAACTGAGGCCATTTTCCCGATTACTAAGTCCCTACTTAACGGAAACATTCGGTTCACGCAGTCGCAAGACTTTTAGCGTGCTTATCAATGATTGTACATTCCTTGAGTTGAGCTTTCTTGACCTTCCCTTTTTGTTGCATACTTTTGTATTTGCTCGTTTGTTTGTGTACTACATATTCTGTGACTTGACAATTTTGAAATTTAGCACTCTTTGCAATATCGCTATAATATGAAGCATTGTGTTTTACCATTAGTATGTGCATTTTGAACTGGTGTGATTTTTTGCCTGGTATCCTCGTGTAGGCAACTGTGTTCTCAATCACTTACGTCATGAATAAGTTTTTGCACCTGCGAAGCAGATATATTGCTGTCGCAAACGTACCGTACCGTGTGTTAGCACATAGCCATTCACCGACGAGCTTCTATCATTCAGCCAATTTAAGCCAATCAGCGATTAGGTTACATCAATTGTTTACATCGGACTTGCGAACGGGCATAGATTGGCCTCGTATTATTCTTTGCCATTTTCACATTCTGGTATTTTTGCTTAAAAATATCTTGATTTTGTCTTATTTTTACCATTACACTTGCGATATTTATATTCCGAAGTTATCTATCAACTTGGAAACTTATCCTCATCTGGTAAGTAGTCAAATACCACATATTTTATTATATACATTTATGCGGCCATGATATATCATTAACTGTGCGCAGGACTGGAATTGAATCATACACTTCATAGTCCATCACCTGAGGGAGTTCTAATACTCATCTCAGGGGGAACAAACGAAACTGATCGGATATGAAAGCTTAGCGTTTTAGCGTTCAATAAATGTCTTGGCGGACGTTCAGAACGGTAGCTTTCCTATCTAATTTCGACTTTGAAGTGACGTACTTCGAAGCAGTGAACGGCCGCCATTTTGTCTCTCAGAGAAAATCCCGCCTAAGAATATTCAGACATAGACAACCGAAAAGGTTTTAAATAAAGAAGGTCTCACCTCAAAGAATTGTAGCTGCATGCTTTATACATCTTTTGACATACTTAGAACTCTTTATTTGATCATTTCTTTAAAGTTTAACGTAAGGGAAATGGCAACATATTTTTTTTCTTCACTAAATAAAATAATAGATATTAAATAAAGAATAAAAAGTTTAATAACAACTCAACTGTATATTACGCTCTTGTTATCCCGCATTTAAAAACATTAATTTTGAGCATTCGGCAGCCATCTTTAATAAAATTTCAAATCATTAAAAGAAAACACGCATGACGTCACAACAGGGCAACAATTTCAAGATGGCGACTGTTTGTACAGAAAGCGAGGAAGATGTACTCGACGATTTTGTACAGAACGAGCCTGTTATTGAGCCATATATGTTTGAACCTAATAAAGGTGACGAGGGAGATAGCAGCGGAGATTCTAGTGAAGATACTTACAGTGAAGAGGATGAGTATAATGATGAATTTGAAAGAGCGAATGCGTGGCGCCTTACAACACTTTCCTGGTATAAATGCGGAGAATGCTCACTCATGGAAAAAACAATTGAGTCTTTTTGTTGCTATGAGAAGTCTCTGGAATACGACGAGTATGACGATATATTAAAAAAGGTAGAAATTCAAGAATTTATGTGCATAACAGATTCATTGGCTTTTCAACAAAATATGTTGTCCAGGGATGTACTGTATGTTGACGTGTCGCAGTATATGGAGGAAAATTGGCCATTGGGAGACGAGGAACTCGAACAAACGCACAAATTATACAGACTTGCATCGTACAGAAGATGCTCAAGGTGGATTTTTGGTATTTTAGGGAAAAAAATCGGCGAGTTTTCCCTTCATGTGTGTATACTTGTATCAGGAAGGAGTTTCCGTCTCCAGATGGTTTATACACGCATTTTAGGTTCTCAAAATGATTTGCTAATGAAAATTTAAGGAAGTTCCAGAATTTAATTGTTCTTCATTGCTTCAGCCAATTGATTTTAAGTCTATTTGTTTAAACATTTTTCCCTCGTACAACTACAACTTGAAGAGCACAATCTCTTGCTTGCTTTGCAACCACATCTTTTTGTTGCACATTTTCCTGAACATTCACATATATCATTATCTTCCACAGGATAGGCTGGTTTAGTAAACCTGCTGAATCGCTTGGCAATGATAGAATTTTTACTTTCTGGTGGGTTGTTTTTTTTATACTGATCCACAAGGGAGGGTGGTTCTTTAGGTAGGACATCAATCGCATTTAGGCGTGCCTTTTTTAGTGTTGGAAACTTCTGCCGTAGCTTTAAGCTTTCAGACTGATGGCGTTTTACATAACCTAAAAATGGAGAATTTTATTGTAAACCTTGTTATGTTTTTTTTACTGACTAAAACAAAATACTCTAAGTTGTAAAGCCACATGATTGTTAATATTGTTTATATTGGCTGGAATGGTCATAATAAAAAAATAAGTTAAATAAGGGTAGAGTTTGCATATCATGACTGCATGACTGGACATTTTTGAATGCTTAAATAACTTTTTTGTGTTTACAAAACACTATAAACTGTACTTGTGTGGAGTAAACTTGTAATTTGTAGTGATGGGCGATACCAGGAATTTTAATTCGATACCGATACCGATACTTTGAAGATCGGTATCGGTCGATACCGATACCTATTTCGATACCAAAATAAACACAAAATTTCTATTTTCGATACCGGAAATGATTACTCATATTGCTGGTATCGGTCACTTTCGATACCGTGCACCATTTTTTTCTCACTTATCTTTTATTCCAAAACTTTAACGTTATTAAACAAAAACGGTAAGGAATTTCAACAAATAAACTTTTTTTCTTACTACAGTCGTGCTGTTTACATATTATTGTTCAGAAATAGAAGCATGTGAATGTTTGAGGGCTTTAGGTTTGACCTTTTCTTTGAAACCAATTCACCAGCTTTTGAAAACGCTCTTTCGGATGGAACTGATGTTGCCGGGATGCATAGATACTTCTTGAATAGCTCAGCTAAGTGTGGATAAGCTGATGCGTGCTTCTTCCACCATGCTAGCGGATCTTCTTGACGAGGAATATTCTTCTCTTGTACATATCGCCTTATTTCTACAGTGGATTCTACTGAACTGGAACGGCGTGTAGATGCCTCGGCAACCTTCTTATCGAAGCTCCCCCACAAATCACTTTCAGGGGCAGATTGTTCTGTATTGTTCTGTGTTGTGGTACTCGCTGACATCGCTGTGCCGCTTTCATTAGTATCATTCGTGATTATGTTACAAGCTTCCGCTGAAATTCTATCTATAGTTCGTTCAGCAGTATCAGCACTGCAAAAAGCAATTTTCTTGAAGCGCGGATCTAAAATAGTTGATGCCGAAAGAGTATGATTAGACTCTAGTTGGGAAAATCTTCTTTTCAATTGACGCTTCAGTTCTGCTTTAATAACAGCTTTAATGACTGCATAGATAACAGCTTCTCTGTTGCTTTTGTACTGCGATGAAAGTAAGTTACAATGTCCTTGCACTTCTGCTGAAGACGTGATAGTCAACTGACCGCTTTCAGAGAATCCTGAACAATGAGGTTAAGAGTATGCGCAAAGCAAGGCAGATGACGCCATCCAAGCAAGTTTACAGCAGCTACAATGTTAGCAGCATTATCTGTGATAATGCAACAGATCTTTTGAGTTATCTCCCACTCTTTTGCAATATTTTTCAATTCTTCTGCAAGGTTTGGTGCAGTGTGGTCCTTCTGTACGTACAATGTTTCAAGGACCTTTGAACACAATTGCATTTCGTGGTCAATGTAGTGGCATGTAAGAGTGAGATAACTTAAAGTTTGATTAGAAGTCCACAGATCTGTTGTCAGAGCAACATGTTTTACTTGCGTCAGTTCACGTTTTACAGCATCCTTTAGTTTTTCATAATTTTTTGGAAGTAGTGACCTTGTGATAGTAGAACGACTAGGTAGCTGATACCGCGGGTCCAACTCCTTAAAAAATTTAATGAATCCTTCATTCTCAACAACAGAAAGAGGCTGCATGTCCTATTAAAAATAATCAGCAAAACAATATTGCCTTATTGGTCGTAATATAGTAACAATAGACGAACATAATATTATACTACAATGCTAAGATAATATTAAATAATACAGCGTAAAGTAATATATTAATAATGAATATAACTACCATTTATTACAGAAAGTATTACAAAATATATTGTTTAAAAATTACGATACACTTACCTTGGCGATCATTCCTACCAATGATTCTGTTATGTCTCCCCACCGTTTCGAAGAGATAGGGTAAGTTGTTCCTCTTCCGAGTGCCGATTGCATGGTCATCTGCTTTGGAGTAGCCTTTCTTTTTTTTGCCTGTGATTTTTCCTGTTCTTTCTTCTCTGCGTCCACGGTTTTGTACTCCGAGTTGTGCTTACATTTCAAATGCTTGAACAAGTTTGACGTGTTGTTTGCACGGCTTAAAACTTCCCCGCAAATGGTGCAAGATACTTTACTTATGTCAGATTCGTCGTCTTGATCAAAATATCGCCAAGCAGCACTCCTTTTCATCGCAAATAATACTAATATGATATACAATTACAATAACAAACAATAACGCGCCCTATGGCGCCAATAATCAGATAATGGCGGGAATTTACTGTTGGTCAGTACTGTTGGTCAGTGGAAAAAATGTTTTACTTTATGTAATCCAAATAAAGCTGCAAGTGTTAAGTAAACCAACAGCAAGTCAAAAATTTTTTTACCTCACTTGGCTCACTATTTTGATGATTAATTTAACGGTATTTTAGTCTTTTGTTTGACAAAAAAATTCTAAGAAAAATTAAAATCGCGCTGAAAAAGGGGTGCAAGTATCGAACGATACCAGGTCAGTAATCGATACCGATACCGCTGGACTTGGTATCGCTGGTATCGATTACCAAGTACTCGGTATCGCCCATCACTAGTAATTTGTGATTATGAATCATATTTATTTGTAGTTTGTATAATTTAATCTAATCATTAATTAATATAGTTAATTTGTTTAATCAACTCACTGAAAGTTGGGGCCTCTTTTATCTTCTTAGCAATAGCCTTTTCCCCCTTGTGTGCTTTTGGATAAATTATTACCCAACGATCTGATTCTTTTTTTGTTTTAGCTTGCTTCGTCTTGGAATTTTCATTGAAGTGCATGTTAGCACAAAACAGTCTAAAACAGGTTTGAAGCTATTAGTATTCAAAATTTGACTTTTGCTTTTCTTCTAAACATTTTCTTATTCTTTGATTGCCAACTGGCACTCCTGCAATTACCTGACTTATAATAAGGCCAAAAAAAATTGTTGGTTTCCGGTTTCCCGACCATATCTAGCTTTTGGCTGCCGAAATTCCTGACCATAAACTTTTTGTTGTTTCCACTTAAAGGACTGCCTCCTCCGCAGGCCCTTATAACATAACTTATCAGTGGCATATATAGATCAGTGCACTCAACTCCCCCCCCCCTGAATTCAATAAACCCTAAATTCAATAAAGCGACTGGGGACGAGACAGCTTAAAGAACATTTAAAATGTTTCCACCTAAAGGACATTTTGTGGACTAATTAACTAAAGGAATTTTTTAATAATCTGGAAGGAAATTTATTTGGCAAGTGGAAACACATAACGAAAAACTAATTAACTAAATTGGATTTGATTTAACTTAGTTCTCAAATATGCAGGTGAACAAGAAACATGGAGTCAAATTTGGGTGAGGGTTTTTACCTGCATTGCAAATTTGAAATAGAATTCTAAAATGTGACTTGTACTTACCTGGCCATAAGTGAATGGTATGGATAGTAGACATTCTTTGAGGCGAACTGATTATCTAAAGAATGCTTTGACTCGAGGGATGAAGTCTGGTGAAGATTTGATAGTTTCCGAATGGCGGAAATTAGTCGAGGTTTTGTAAGGATTTCTTTAAGTTTCTTGTGTGCAGCTGACCCTGTATAAAATAAATGATATTTTAAACTTTCGAAAAAGTTATTATATTCAAGATGTGTGGAAAACTATGTAACCTGCTTTAATCCATGCTCTATCTAATTCTCCATGGGTACATCTCTGGAAGATCTTGTTTTCTTCATGAACATGCACGTCCATGATGTGATTTAAAAGGCTTCTCCATTTTTCTTCCCTCTCTTTTTCGTTTGTGGTTGAAATTGCCACCCAGTAAACGTGGTTAACGATTGACTGAAAATAGTTAAGTGAATTTTTATTGCCAATTCTTTTTGAGGTGTTTGTTAGAGAGGGAGGGTTGTCAATCTTATTACAATAAAACTCAATTGCAAAACAAATGAGAAAGGTAGATTTAAACCTGTCAAGCGTTTTCATTGAAAAGGAGAAGTGCTTATATCAAAAAGCATTTATTAGAGAGGCATTTGGGAACTATATATGTAACATTATAGCTGTCGTTTTAGATCATACTTGACAATTTATTTATGCTGATCTTATTTGCCTACCCCAATCCATAGCTTTATTTCTTTAAATTTCTTTGTCTTTGAGGCTTTCAAAAGCTTTTTCTTCACACCTATATTACACAAATAATATAGTTATTCTTACTAAGAATGTTGTATTCTTAAATATTTACCATGGATCTTCACGATTTACGTATTATAAATACTTGACAACTAGGCTTCTTACCCTTTGCAACATGCCACACATCGTAATTGTGCTCTATACTTGACTTTTCACTTGCCATATACGCAGATACTTGCACGTGTCTGTCTGTCACGAGTTTTTTAACTTCTACGTTTGCATTCTCAAGGTACGAAAGTTGCCTCTTCAGGGACTCTAATTCCATTCCATTGGAGTTTTAACTTCAGTACTCTGAAATTTAATTGATTTGATAAATTGCTATATCATCATTTGTGTAATTAGTAATAATATCATTGCTATGATTGCTATATCGTTATCTTTAACCGAATTAATCACGTGCATGGTGCGATAGCACAATTAAACATTGTATCTGAACCCTCCAATTACCTTTATAACTTGAGTATCTAAAATAACGTTTTGCTCTACGTCAAGTGTGCTACCAGAACCAAGAAGACCACTGTGTCCAGGGCTGTCCACACGCATGTCAGAAGCTATAATAACTGGTTTGTCTTTGATTCCATTGATCAAACTTTGTTGCTCTAATCTCCACATGTTAAATATTGCTGGTATTGCATATGTACTTTGAAGGTTTGACATTTCCCTTCTTTTAATACAGAGAATGTTTAACGATTCCATGAACCTTAACGTTTTATTCGACTCCATCCCTGTGCTTAAAATTGTTGAAGTTATGAGCAAGTTCATAGCAGGAAGCCGATTTATAAGAGGGCCAGTTGACCAAGAAATATCATGGTTTTGGTTTGATGAACACGATATATAGATCATGCAGTAACTTCCAATCCTGTTTCCTATTGAAACTGAGCAGCTGCTTCCACATTTTTGGCAAATCCCAAAGATATGTGCTATCGACTCTTCGCAAATGATAAATTTTAGCTGATTCTCAATAGACTTTTCGCGGGACAAGAGAACGCGGTCTTTATTTTGCTTTGATATTTCTTCAGTGCTCGCCTCCTGGTCAGATTGACTTTCTTCACTTGCCAAATGATCGAATTCCGTACAATAACTCCCGTCACAACTTTCATTACAATCGGATTCGCACAGTTCTTCTGGTGGTGGTCCGGAGATTTCAACGTTTGCGTCTGCTTTGCAAGATTCACTTGTTTTTGAAGAATCAACATATTGTTTAACAACATTTTCACTTGTTCCACATTCATTTGTTTTGGATGAGTCAACAATGTGCTCTTCAATAATATTCTCAGATGAGTCAGTTTGAGAACCAGTAGAATTCGTTTCGGGAAATACGAGTAATTTAGACAATGAATTCACGGTAAGGAGTGTCTGTGTACCTTTTGTTGCTGTCGTTGAAAACATAGACTTCTTTGTTTGAGTGGTCTTATTCTTACCAAAATATTCGAGTGCAATGGTTTGGCAACTTGTACTCTTGAAGTTGCTACAATCAGCATTTACAATCTCTGATTCCTGCGGATGTTCAGTAGCGATCGTGTTGTCTTCGTTCACGATTTCGTTATTAGGTGGTAATTTGGATTTTGAAATCAACTCTTGAACATCCTTGATAAGACGAAAGGATAATGTTATTTGTAAGTGATTGACTGGTCGCAACTTATTATTTATCAAGTAGTTCGAGTTTTAAATGCGAAATTTTTTGGAAGAAAATTTTGTGCAGGTGGGGGCATATTAAATCGGGAGAGGTGGTAAATATCTTTCACGCCCCCTCCATAGGTTAATGCTTATCATAACCCATCATAATATATATCACCATAACATAGCATTTAATACATGTATCATATCCCATCACTATAAAGACCTGAAAAGCCAACTGAAAAATGACTAAATAGAACAAATTCTTGGGTTTCATATGACGTCATAGATTTCAGTGGGGGTCAACACTAAATCGAGACACAGTGATCGGAACGAATTAAATGTTCACTGTATGTGTTGGCCTTGTGTTTGCTAACAAATACGTGCAATTTCGTATCATTTTCTCACTCCAGTACAGCATAAGCATCAATACAGTTGAGGTTGACCCCCACTCAGATTCACTGCATAATGGCGTAGTAAAACCCAAGAATAAGTCTCTTTCGTCGCTTCAAATTTTATATCCCCCCCTGCGCCAACCGTGGTAATGCCTCGTGAGTGTTGCCCCCTCCCCCCATTTTACCAATGTCCTTACGCTTGCCATGCTTATGGTGTCACAGACCTTGAAGCACGGCTGAAATCAGCTAAACTGAGATTACTTCTATTTCTAAGGGAAATTATTAATTTTGTAAGTCCGAGACTTCAAATATCGTGGTATATAAAGTTTCTAATTAACAAAATTTTATATGAAAACATATGATCAGCATGATAATTGATAAAAGATGATTGAAAATAGTAATTACTTTCCGCCTTGCTAGAACTCCTGTATGTCTCCTCTTCGCCTGTCTACAATCACCATGAGTATCATTAACCATATCGAGTGGTTTATTTTTCGTGGGTACTGCGTCAGGTTTTAGAAATAATTTTCGCCTTTCTTGAAAGTTTAATGCAGACAAAAACTGAGAAGAATGCGAAGTAACGTAAGCATCTTCGCTAAAATGCAACGAACACAAACCCGAATATTTAGATGGAACAAAGCACTTTCGCTTGCAAAAGTCGACCCATATCTTGTTTCTTTTTTCCTCTGTTTTATTAGTTATCTTAGGAAACGAAAAAAAGTGTATTTTCTTCTCGGGATTTCTTTTACTACTGCTGTTGCAACCATAAACTGGACAATACATGGCGAAACAAAACCAAAACAGTAGAATTTGTATTTCCCGCCAAAAACAAAGCCCTGTTGTGACATCACGTTGCATAAATTAGCATAATAAAAATCATAACAAGATGGCGGCGAAGACGCTATGATTTTGTTTCAACAATTACCATTTTCCAAGAAATAAAAGACAGAAATGGGGAATTTTTGTTATTTTCTTTCATATGTGGAGGTAATCTATTAAATTAGTTAAAGAAAAAATATGTTGCCATTTCCCTTTAAGAACTGTCCAAAAACAAAATATTTTACGAAAAATTCGTCCGTCATTAAGTTAAGTTATTAGAGTCTGCAAAATCCGACCTGCGGTTAAGCGCTGTGACGTCATCTACTCAACACGAATAAAGTAGTTCATAATATAAATAGCATACAAACAATTAAAGATACAGGGTGTTAGCTAGCCAATATACTGTCCGTTTGACGGACTCTTCCCAATTGAAGTAGTTAAGGGGCTTTCCCAACTGGGTCTACTGGAAGATTTTCATTTTTCTGATGAGAAAGTGCATTGCATTTGATTTTATATTATATCAAAGAACGTTTTATTTATTTTCCATTAACTATTTTCTCAAAATGTATCGCGTTTCATTCATATTGGGTGTGTATTCACCGAAATGAAATGTACTCGGTGTGCATCCGTGTTCATTCACCGGAAATGAAATAGAAAAAACCAAGCCACTGTTGTTTGCATCTAAGAAGAAACACGTTGGAAAAAACACTATTTATTCCTACACAAGGACTTTGATCGGTCAAAAATTTTTTTCCCAATTTACGTTTAATGGGCAAAACTTTTTTTCTTGCTAACACCCTGAAATTATCATACAAACTGTGGTATCACAATGGCACTCATGTATTCTGTATTTATTTATTCATTCAGACTTTATTTCATGAGGGTAAACACTTGACAGTAAGTGTGAACTACCGTACATGAGAGTGGGCTTGATAACGCAAGTATAAAATATTTCTCATTGATGTGGCTTGACCGCTACAAAATATCATAAATAATAAGTTGGCGATTGATATTTTTCACCGTGAGCCTGCGATTTTGAGTTCACACCAATTGTTCACTTCATTTATAAAATTCAAATTGTCACGTCAAAGTCCCCTACTTCCCCTCCCCCCGTCGTCCCATTATTGCAAAGTTTGTAATTTCCCCGGGGTTCACGGGCAGAATACATGGTTAAAATACCAAATTCCCCCTCGTTTCCCCCCGGTTGTCCCGGGGGTGTACCCCCCGGGCAGGCCGTTGATATGTGCATTATCACAGGCTTATACTGGGCTGTTTTTTGTTCAAAATTATGTCTTCTGACGAAAGCCACAGCTCCAATTTTGCAACACAATCATCTTGCGAACTCTCTTTTGCCGAAGACGTTTTTTATGATAGCGGGGGTGATATAAATATGGAAAAAAGTATGGATTTGTGCGAGGCCTATGATACTTCAGTCGAACCTCTTGCCACTGGAGAAACGTAATACATGAAGAGTACTATAACTGAGAGAGAGCAAAAGCAGCAAACACTGTCTGCTAGATTGTCTGGTGAAACCTCAACTGACACCTGGTACGTTTTGGATTGTATTTATTTACCTTTTGGTTTATATATTTGTGACATAAAACAAACATGTCATGGCCATGTAAAACAAAACAAATGGTTACTGATCTCCTTATAAAATGTTATTGTCACTTCCGTTATTGCACGAAACGTCTTCAATGAGAGATGGCTTAAAGATGACTGTGTTGCCAAATTGGAAATCCTACTCACGTAAGAAAACATTAATTTACACAAAGTTGTGGGAAATATACTTCAATTGTATACTTCAATATATATTAATGGTCCATAGGCGTAAATATGGCAACTGTGTCCTGGCCTTTGTGGTAAAACTCAATGAATGTCGTTGTTTATGTGAACCTTGTAAGGAAAAAATGCTGGAAGAAAACATCCATGACCGCTGCTTAACTGAGCATCCAGCATTTGATATTGGGTGTCTGAACCATTGGGTGTTAAAACTTGCTGGTTTAAGTTACAAAACCCAAATAAAAGGCTGCCAAATTTATACCACTCTGTGTACCAAAAGGAAAAAGAGTGAACCAGAGTAAGTATTTCAATGTGTATTTCTAGGCAATACCCCCTCCCCCTCCAATGGAAGAGATTTACTTTATGAACCCCCCATCCCTCTGGATTTTTCTAACTGTCCCTGACAACTAATGTTCCCCCATCCCTATGGAAATTCTGGACAGTTTTTTACTACCATACTTTCAACCATGATGTCAGTGTTTTAAAAAAATAACTCGGCAAGATACAACATTGTTCACATAAACGAGACAGAAACCATATTTTGGCGTATGCACAGCAAGGAAAGGGGTACCTTGTTGAACTGCTGGTACCGTATAGCCCCAGATAAGCTTCTCTACTTGCTGATATGAAACTGCCCTAAGAAACCATTCAA